TGCTGGTGGTGGTGAGGATCGAAACGGCCTCGAAGCAAGGGTGGCGGCGGAGCTGTAAGACTCCACGCGGAGGAGGAAGAAGGGAGGAGAGATCAAATGGATCTGATAGGTAGATGGGGTGGATTTGGTTCAATTTGTGATGGAGTAGGCCTGTTGTGTCCGATGTGGCAGACGCACCCGATCGCGCTCGGGCATCCTCATATACGCCTCATATTTGGGTTGGATATGAGGAGTGTCGGTCAGCCCGGTCATTTGAGGCCCGTTTGAGGTGCCCGTCTGGGTTGGGTTTTCTTTTGACCGGTCACTGATCGGGTCATCCGCCGGAGTTTGAGGGGGGGGGGTGGAGTACCCGGTTGTATCCGCTTGGGCAACACGAGTGCCGGAATCCTAGCCAACGCAGGGGCCTTCTCTCTGTCGATCTCTCCCTTGCCGCTGCTGGTGGCCGACATGGGAAAATCCCATGCAGCGGTAGGCGGTGGAGAGGCCTCCTCTCGTGCCCTCCTCGGTTGGTGGGAGGCTCCGCTGCGTCCTGGATGCTAGATCCTTCCGTCTCCAGGACGGCGGCGGAGGATCCTTGAGGAGTTTGTCGGGTAGGATCGGCTGCTCGCGGGGCGCGCGATTGTGAAGCGAGGTGGAGGAAGCGGCGGACGCGCTGCTGTAGGCCAGAGGCGAAGGCCCAGCCAAGCCCTGCGGCGGCGGCGACGCTGAAACCGGGTGTCTTTGTGGCGCTCGTGCATGAACTGTTCAACCTTGGGCTCATCTGCGCCAGAGGTTGATCCACTCCATCCGATCGCCGAGAGTCGGCCGACTGTGTGGGGACTGTTGGATTGACCAGAATAATGGTGGTTTTGGCCCTGCTATTCTTCAAACACCAACTCGTCGATCGACCAAATCTACCGCCTCAATTGGGCCACCATCGAGTTCCGTTCTTCCTCTTCGAGATATTCATAGTTTGTCACAAGATGCTACTAGATATTTAGAGCAGAATTGATGTGGTCGTGCACACCCTTTTTGGGTGACGCGCGAAGCTGCCTCTTCTGGTCGTCACCATGGGACATGTCTTCATATAGATTTTCATGGAACTAACAGAGATGGAGAAAGACATGGCGGATGTGATCAAAGGTTTGTTTTTCGCAGAGAGAGTGTTGGTTCTGTTGAAGACGATGTAGCACAAGGTCTTCCTATGTGTCGGGCGTTCGTCGACTTGCAGCAGCAGCCTTGGCAAGCGGGGTGGCAACATAGGTGGACTGCAATTTTTGTGTTGCTCCTCAAGTACAGAGGCACGATTTTCTGGGTGAAAAACTAAGGTCTAGCCTTCATTGGTTGTACCTGGCAATGGCCTTTCCCACGTAATTGTTTTGGAAACTTGGTCTTTCTCCGGGGTGAAAACCCAAGATCGTCGATCGGGCGACGACAACACATATGCATTGTTTTCTTCTTGGAGGCGTTGCTTTCGGAGATCCTAGTATGTAGTATAGGTGTTGTATTTGGTGGTGGTTAGAGTGCTTCTATTGCGAGTGGTTGTACACCGCGACATTTTCTTTTCTTTTCTCTCTTTTTTATTTTGTTTTTGGTTGTTTGCATCCTGGATGTCTACAAGACATTTTGTTGGTGTAGAGGCTAAGTGTATCTAGTATCCTAGCGATATTAATATAGCCCCCCTTGTCGAAAAAGATGCTCTTAGATGCCCAACGAGGCAGGGGTTAGAGGCATCTCCAAGCGGACACCAAAACATTCTCAAATATTCGGACTTGACGGTCCGAACACTTTTTGTTAGAGATATATTAGGATTACTTGTATTTGGTAGTCTAGAATTTGTAATTCATTTCCTACCTTATCTCCAGGAGAGGCTTCTTACTCTCCAAGTCTTGTACTCAATATATACTCGCCCTCGAGGCTCAATAATACATCTATCATATTCTACAACAATCTTCTCTCTATCCCTTCTAACATGGTATCAACCTAATCGATCCTAAACCCTAGTCGCCGCCGCATCTGCACCCGCGCGCCACCCCCGGGGCGGTCGGCCTCCATGACCGCCGCCGGGGGCCGCGTCGCCCGTACCTAGGGTTCGTTTGTCGGCCGTGTTGACCGGCTGCCCTAGAGAGTCTTTTTCCCGAGTCTTTGCTCCGGGTTTTTTTTGCTCTTTCGCTGGCCATTTTGATCCGCGTTTTCTTTTTGGTTTTCCGATATATGCTTGATAGGTTTGTGTCGTCCGCCACCGCTATCGACACCCACGCGCCTCTACTCCGACACCGGCGCGACCGGACGGCTTCTTCACCAACCCGGCGGCCTCACGCCCGTCGTCCGCGCGCCGGCCTGCCCGTCGATCTACGCTGCCGTCATCGCCCTGCTCCGACCAGGACACCTGCATCATCCCGACCCGGCTGCCTCGCGCGATGCGGTGGCCCATCACAACCGTCCTTCGCGCACCGGCCCGCATGTCGATCCACGCCGTCCATCTCCACCCGCCTCTGCCGCGTCTGCACGGCGGCCCTACTGTGTGCCTCACCGGCCTCGTCCCTGGCTGTGTCGGGCAGGCTGCCTCAAGATCGGGCGCCGCTGCTTTGTTGGTCGCTCGGGCCTTGCTGCCCGGGCGGCGGCGCTACTTTGGCAGCCCATGTGATGGTGCTGACGCGCTCATCCGCACGATGTCCCACGCCATCCGTCATCGTCGGCCTCATCTTGGACTACTCCGCCACCCCGCCTCCATCGAGCGGCGTCCCCGACCTCGCGCGCGATTGGCTTGATCACCCGCTCGTCACCGCGATCCACCTCATCTACGCCACACGACCAACCTGGCATGTCGGTTGTCCGCAGGTCCCGTGAAGATCGTCCCCGAGTTCAGTGCGCCCCTCCACCGATCGAGCAACGGGTTGCTGCTGCGTCACCCCGTCGGGCCGCAATGCCGCCGCCCCGTGGTTCTCCTCACGGCTGCATCGACTCGCGCGTCGCTGTTGCGTCACCCCTTCGGGCCGCAGCGCCGCGATACGTGGTCCTCGCCGCCGCCCCGAGGCCATCCTCGCGATTGCACTGACCCGCGCTCCACCGCTGCGCCGCCCCTTCGAGTTGTAGCACCGTGGCCCGCGGGCCCTACTGCTGCCTCGAGGTCTTCCTATTGTCGCGCCGACCTGCCCGCCGCCGCTGCGTCGCCCCTTCGGGCCGTAGCGCCGTGGCCCGCGGTCCACTCCACCATCACCGTGAGTCGACCTCTCGTGGTATGTGTCGCGCCGCCTCTCCTGGCGCAGGAGCGCCACCGTCCGCGCCGGTCTTCGTCACGCTGTCAGGTTCCTCGCCTACTTCGAGCATCGTCGCTGCGCTCCTAACCTAGCCATCATCGCCGCTCTTCTTCGGTCGCCACCACAGCTACCCTCGTAGCCGCGCCACCCGTCCACTTCCTTCGTCTTCGTCTAGCACCAGCCCATCGTCAGCGTCGCCGTCATCTACCCCGATGGCTTCGTCTACTCCGACCACCGTTTGTGACACCGGCCCCGCGCCGTTTGGCGCCGCAACCGTCCTCGAGTCCTTCTTTGCTTGCCTCTCCGACTTCTCCGACATGGCGTACAGTTCGTGCAGGTCCCAGTCTACGCATGCCTGGTGCTGGCAACACCGATGCGTGCCTTCATCCACGACGTGTACCCGGACATGGCAAGCTTGGTGTGGCGCTTTGTCAATTTCATCTTCGTCCTTCTACACATACCTGGTGCTGGCAACACCGATGCGTGCCTTCGTCCTTGGCAAACCCGCCGCGACACGTCGTCAACAACATCTTCTTCCCTGCGCACCACTACTTCGACACAACTGCGCCCTTGACTAACTCGGCGCCCCCTTGCGCCCGCGGCCCCACGGCGACTTCCTCGACACCGGCCACCCCGACTCGACATCGACCACAGCATTCTTCACACGGCTACCTCGACCACGGCTACACCACCCTACGCTCTCGGCTACCTCGACATCGACACAAAGGGCTATCATCTGCTTGAGCAACTCCTCGGCTTCCTCTACAGTCAATGTGTCCACGATGTGACACCGTCCACGACGCTCCCGCTATGACTGCAGGGGGATGTCAGCCCATCGGTTGCTATTCTCTTCAGTCTGACCATCCGCGACGCTCCTGTTGTCTGCGACGCTACCGCTATGACTGCGGGGGGTGTTAGAGATATATTTGGATTATTTGTATTTGGTAGTCTAGGATTTGTAACCCGTCTCGTACCTTATCTCTAAAGAGACTTCTTACCCTTCAAATCTTGTACGCAATATATACTCGCCATAGAGGCTAAATAATACATTCATCATATCCCGCAACAATCTTCTCTCCATCCCTTCTAACACTTTTAAGCTCTCTAAGGCGATCATCAAATCGGTCAGAACGTTCGAATCCCCCATACCACATAAACAAATTCGGAGGTGCCAAGACGTCCGGCCGGACTACTGTGAGTTGGAGCACGTGTACCCACGATCCACGTCTTCTACTCATCTATTTTCCGTCTTGGCCTGCATGACTCATTATTAGTAATAGCCTATGGTTTAAATTTAAGAAACATGGTTGGATGATCGGCACCTGGCTGAATATTGGTGGAACATTTGCGGATGAAAATTCGGTGATCCGCGTTGGAGATGCCGTGAGAGCGGTTCACATAGAAGGCACGTATTCTAGTCCTTATGTTCTACTTTCTTCGTTCAAAATAAACATATCAATCTTAGTATAACTTTAGTGAGTACTTCTCAGTTTCAAAATAAGTGACTCAACTTTGTATTTTTATACTCCCTTCATTCTAAAATAAATGACCTAATAATTAGTATAAAGTTGGGTTATCTATTTTAGAACGGAGGGAAGGGAGTATTATGTAAGAAAGGTGGTAGCTTTTTGTATTTTTATATTATGAAAGGGAGGTAATAGCTTTATGATTTGAGTATTTGCATATGACTACAGGACAAGCAAGCATGTTGGATGGTCCGAGTGGGTGTCGCATCAGCAGATCCATTGAACGAGCATAGACATGGAAGAAGCAGGAGGCGCCGCTGGCACCGTCCGGACCGTGTCCCGGCGACTGGTCCGGCCGTCGATCGGCGACGCGCCGCCGCCGGAGGACATCCACCTCACGCCGTGGGACCTCCGCTTGATCAGCGTCGACTACATCCAGAAGGGCCTCCTCCTGCCCGCGCCTCCCGACGGCGGCGACCGCCTCGTCGGCACCCTCGCGTCGTCCCTGGCGCGCGCCCTGGGCAGGTACTACCACTTGGCCGGCCGTCTCGCCGTCGAGGAGCGGGGCGACGGAACCCTGAACGTCATACTACGCTGCACCGGGGAGGGTGCCGAGCTCGTCCACGCGACGGCGCCCGGCGTCGCCGTCGCGGACATCGCCGGCTCGTTGTACACCCCGTCATGGGTCGTCAGGGCCTTGTTCCCGTCGAACGGGGTGCTTGGCGCGGACGCAGCCATCGATTCGCTCCCCGTGCTGTCGGCGCAGGTCACCGAGTTCGCCGACGGCGTCTTCACCGGCGTGTCGCTGAACCACTCCCTCGGCGACGGCTTCGTCTTTTGGGAGTTCTTGCACGCTTGGTCGGAGATCAACCGGGGAGGAGGAGCAACCAGAGACCTAAGCGAGATCTCCGCGCGGGTGCACCGGAGGTGGTTCACCGATGCCAGCCCCGTGCCGATCCCCCTGCCGTTCAGCAAGCTGGAGCACGTCGTACGGTGGTTCGACCCCCCGACCGTGCAAGAGTGCTTCTTCACCTTCTCCGCCGCGAGAGTCAAGGAGCTCAAGGCGAGGGCGAACGACGAGATGGCCGGCACGGCCACTGCCACCATCTCCTCTCTCCAGGCCCTGCTCGCGCACCTGTGGCGAGCGGTCTCCCGAGCACGGCGCCTCCCGCCGGGGCAGGAGACGTCCTACACCCTGGCCGTCGGATGCCGAGGCCGTGTAAGCGGCATACCGCCGGGGTACATGGGCAACGCGCTAGTGCCCGCCAAGGCGAGCGGTACCGTCGGCCTTGCGAGGTACTGGGCAAGGGGCTGGGCTGGACGGCATGGCAGCTGAACCGCGCCATCGCGTCGTTCGACGTGGAGGCCATGAGGGAGTGGCTGGAGAGCTGGACTAGGGAGCCGCAGTTCCGGTACTTTGGGAGCCTTATGTCCGGAGGCGCGGCGCTGATGACGGGGAGCTCGCCGCGGTTCGACGTGTTCGGGAACGACTTTGGGTGGGGGAAGCCGGCCGCCGTGCGTAGCGGCGGCGGGAGCAAGATGGACGGGAAGGCGACGGTGTACGAGGGGCCGGAGCGGGGAGGGAACTTGTCTCTGGAGGTGTGCATCTCCCCGGACGCGATGGAGAGGCTCGTCGCCGACGAGGAGTTCATGGACGCCGTGACGATGTTGCCGGCCCAACATGGGTGATCAAATTCTAGCTACTCTTACTGGCTTTTCTCAAAAAGAAAAAAAAGCTACTCTTACTGGCCATTTTCCCAATGCATCATCGATCATCTCCGGTCTCGTCGTTCAACAATCTCACTCTAATCTTGGCAAATTTGCACTGACAGAACCAAGTGTTTCGCATTAAGGTTATTGCAAGAATAAGAGATGTTATTAGTTCGAATTTTCTCTTTATCATGGATCATAGCAACGACCATGCTTTGTTGTCTGAAGAAGCGAATGTTGTACTCCTTGTTCAACTTCAGTAACGTGCTAGGACCTAGGAGTGCAGTGTGTATAAGTGAATAGGAAGCTAATTGGGTGTGTGTGTGTGGTGGCGGCGTGAGTTTGTATCGTGATGCTTGTGGATCGGTGTTTTATATATAAAGCTGGACGAAAGTCTTTTTCGATAATAAAAAGCTAATTTTGCAAGAATTTGTTGGTCAAATCAGCAACTGGCGTGAATGTCTATTCGAAAATGAAAATTGTTATCGGATCAGATGTTGTTGCTCGCAAACGGTTCGGCAAGTGGTTAACTATGTCTTGTGAAACGTTTGAAAGAAGGGGAATAGACGGATCTTCACCGACACCTTCCAAACTGTGCTCGACGTTGCAATATTAACTTCAAGGAAGACCTTGAGCTAGTTAGGCTGGTCTTTAGGCCGGTGATGGAGTCATGTGTGGGAGTTTTTCTCCTTTCTATATTTTCTTCTGTGAATAGTTCTTGTTCTATTTTTGTTTTTTGGATTTTAATGAAATAAGCACCTACCTTTCTCGTAAAAAATGTCAAGGGCGAAGAATGTGCTCTTTTCTTGTTGTTTAATTATCACACACTCTCGGCACAGATTGTTGAAACTTGAAAAGTGAAAACGATTCCAGTGTTAACCATTGTCATTTGCGGGCACTTGCGCATAATGAACTGAATCAGGTTAATTATTTTTCATATAACTTCTAAAGTTTCTTTTGTGGCGTAAAAAGAGATTTATTAATCATTTGGTAGAGTACAACCCGCCACTCTAAGGCTTTGTTTGGTGCCAAGGGGGAGAACACCCAGGTTACTAAATCCCACCAGGGGAATTTCAAGAGCACTTGTGATTCCCTTCCTTCCGCGAGGGAGATCTCCTATGCTCACTAGAAGAACACCCGTGCGTTGCAACGGGGCCACATTAACTTTAAAAGTTCAATATTAATATTCTCATATATATCAAGTGACATTGGCGACCTTTTTTATCATCAATTCCTCACACACACTCTCTGCCTCCCTCTTCCTCACTCTCTCCCCCTCTCCCTCTCTCTCTCTCTAACACACACATATCCATCTTATTGGCTACGGGACCATAATCCATCTATTTCACACACACAAGCTAGTACATAACAATATGGATTATGTGTATTATATTTGCCACCACAACTGAGGGAATTAATTTCATGTAAATCGGCCAGCCACAGCTCCAAGAATACGCGGAGGAGGTGGCCCGGGTCGGCGTCGGCGCCGTCCGTCACGGGCCACGGGCCCGCTTCCAAGCGCGTCTGCGCGTCGGCCACCCACGCCGTGTCCTTCAAGTGCCACTTCCACCGCACCAACTCACAGGGTCACGGCCATGGCCAGGGCCAGGGAAGCCGCCCTTCTTTGCCCCCTTCACCGGCCGCGGCCAACGCGGTGCCGCGGCACCCGGCCTCGCCGTCCTCGTCCTCCAGCACCGTCGCGACCCAGTGACGCAGCCCAAGCATCGGCCTCGAGAATCAAGAACGCTCGACAACGTAGAGGGAAGGAAAGATCATATACATGTCATAAGAAAGGGAGTTTATTTACTGCTCCCTCGATGTATTGTTTCCTTTGTTTGGAGATTGATTATCATCCGTGAGTTAAGGTAAGGTTTACGTGATTGAGCGATTTTTTGAAAATCAATTATTTGTTTTCTAATTAATGTAACTGAGTGATTTAAGGTAAGGTTAATTAATTTAGATTTGATCTTTAGAGATTGTTCGTGATTGATTCTACATTACTAAATAACTTGCGCCAGTATGAAAAGTTCTGATCTGTTTAGATTTCTTTTGTTGTGTGAGAGGGTGACGCGAAAATAAACCGATGAAGTGAGGGGAGGGAACGAAAAAAATCTACGAAAAAAAACCAGCGAAGGTGGGAGGAGGTACCAAAAAAAACCATGAAATGTGGGAGGAGACTACCAACTGTTTCCTTAGGAGTAGAAATTATTAGAGATTAGAGATTATTTGTTTCCTGAAAATCTATTATTTGTTTCCTAAAGCAAATTGCATTAATGAGAGAGATTTCGTAGATTTGGTTAAGGTAGGAAAGAATCTATTATTTGTTTGCTAAAGCAAATTACATTAATGGGAGGGATCCGTTGATTTGGCTAAGGTAGGAAAGAATCTATTATTTGTTTGCTAAAGCAAATTGCATTAATAGAAAAGATTCGTTGATTTGGCTAAGGTAGGAAAGAATCCATTATTTGTTTCCTAAAGAAAATTGCATTAATGAGAGAGATTTGTTGATTTGGCTAAGGTAGGCGGTTTTTGCGGTTCGTGGCGGCTTAGTGTGAGGTGGGACGAGGTACCAAAAAAAACCTGGGAGGTGGGATGAAAAAAACCTGGGAGGTGGGAGTTGTCCCTGGTTAACCTACGAAATTTCGTAGATTTTTTTAGGACGAAAAAAAACCATGGAAGGTGGGACTAAAAAAACCTGGAAGCGAGACTACCAACTGCTCCCTTAGGAATAGAGATTTTTCTTATGTGTAGGAAGAAAAATAGAGCAATGTTGGATACACCATTGATAGGTAATTGAATTGCAGGTAGAAAGTATACCAATAATTTTACATATACATTTTGACCGAAGAAAATTATGCTTCCAAAAGGGTGGAAATTTGTTTCCAACAGCAATCACTTGTACTTCCAATGTGAACAAAATCTGAATCACGTGTGGCTACTACACATATGGTATCCTTCAACCCGGCCAAATGCAAGACCGCTGGAGCACAGCCGACGTAGCACGCATGAGAGCATCGCTACCACGCAGCCACATTGAAAAGGGACCTCATGAGTCTATAGCATGCAGCCCCAATTACAGGCTTCAATGAGCAGAGCACGACCATACCACTTCAAGCAGCAATACAAAATGTCTGACGAGGAGTAGCAGAGGAAACGAAGGTCTGCACACCGGTGAAATTACAGTGCCACACCGGCCAGATTGGGGATGCAGCGCGACGAACGGATCACAAGGAGCGTTGTGGGGGCATGAAGCACACATGCACATGCTTAGCCATCAAGGCGACATGGTGTGTGCGTTCTTGCCGGAGGACTTGCTGGTCGAATGTAGATGCGGTGGTGCGATAAGAGCGAGGTTGAAGCGAGGAGGATCCAGATGGCAGGTGTGGCAGAGAGGGTGGCGAGGTAGTTGATTAGGGTTTGATGGTGGATGTGAGGATGATTCGGAGGGGTTATATAGTACAGCCAGGTCTTGTTGGATGCATGGCTCCAAAACGATTGGTGAGATGCTGGTCTGATGAAAGCCATGTATTAGACGTCTCACAGGAATAGTTTTCCTTTATATTTATAGCCTTACCATACCTGGATTGATTTATTGCCATATAATTACCATATTCGAAATTTCCTGAGTTATGACCTTACCATACCTGGATGGATTTATTACTATAATAATCATATTTGAGATTTCTGAGTTTATAGCCTTACCATACGTGGATTAATTGTGATTGATTACCATAAATACATTGGGTGTTGCCGGTTAGACGAGAAAAGAGGAAAACCGGTGAGAGGGTGGTGGTGGGAGATGGGACGAAGAAAAACCAGACGAAAAAAAGCCAGACAAAAATAAATCGTGGAGACTATTCACCAACTCAGATTTCCTTCTCTTTCGCTGAACTCGGGAAATCCTTCCTGCATGTGACGCACGGCCTTAACTGCCCTGCAATCTCCACGATTATCTTCCCTACATACACGTGATTGTTTCCTTCTCATTTGTTAACAGATTGGCTAGCACCATTATATATCGGGAGCAAGAAAATCGCCCGAGATATCGCTCCGTTTTATTGAATTGATTGTGTCTGGTTACCTTAAGTTAATTGATTGCGTTTGGAAAGAATTGATTGTCATGCATGATTGCGTTTGGAAAGAATTGATTGTCATGCATGAATCGGGGACGTAAGGGGGGAAACGGAACCTGACTGCGTGCAGTGAATGGGGTGGGGTAGGGGTGGGGATGGTGTGATGAAAAAAACCGGACGAAAAAAAACCATGGTAGGTGGGACGAAAAAAAACCTGGAAGCGAGACTACCAACTGCTCCATTAGGAGTAGAAATTATTAGAGATTAGAGATTATTTGTTTCCTGAAAATCTATTATTTGTTTCCTAAAGCAAATTGCATTAATGAGAGAGATTTCGTAGATTTGGTTAAGGTAGGAAAGAATCTATTATTTGTTTGCTAAAGCAAATTGCATTAATGGGAGGGATCCGTTGATTTGGCTAAGGTAGGAAAGAATCTATTATTTGTTTGCTAAAGCTAATTGCATTAATAGAAAAGATCCGTTGATTTGGCTAAGGTAGGAAAGAATCCATTATTTGTTTCCTAAAGAAAATTGCATTAATGAGAGAGATTTGTTGATTTGGCTAAGGTAGGCGGTTTTTGCGGTTCGTGGCGGCTTAGTGTGAGGTGGGACGAGGTACCAAAAAAACATGGGAGGTGGGACGAAAAAAACCTGGGAGGTGGGAGTTGTCCCTGGTTAACCTACGAAATTTCGTAGATTTTTTTAGGACGAAAAAAAACCATGGAAGGTGGGACTAAAAAAACCTGGAAGCGAGACTACCAACTGCTCCCTTAGGAATAGAGATTTTTCTTATGTGTAGGAAGAAAAATAGAGCAATGTTGGATACACCATTGATAGGTAATTGAATTGCAGGTAGAAAGTATACCAATAATTTTACATATACATTTTGACCGAAGAAAATTATGC